ACTGGAAACCCAAATATTTAGGGTTTCTGGTTGGATTTGGACCGATTTTAGTTGGTTTGTAACTGGGCCGGTTTAATTGTAATTGGTTTGTAATTTATATGGATTTAATATATTTAATAATAATAGTAAAAATAATAATAATAATAATAATAAATAATAAATAATAATAATAATAATAATAATATTAATAATAATAATAATAATAATAATATTAATAATAATAATAATAATATGAATAAAAAATAGTATCTTCAAATTCCACACATTTCAAATTCCGTATTTTCTTTATTTTTCAACAAAGATTCTCGAAATAGGAGAAATTAAAAAGAAAAGTAAAAAAGCATCCTCCACGTCAGTTCAAATCAACGTTGACCAATCATCACTCAGCTGTCACTTTTATCTCTAACAACAACCGTCTATTTTCGTCCACGCATTCTCTTCGACTGTGAGGCGCGAATTGGCATATCTTCACAAGAACACGCCACGTGTCCCAATAGTATAGTCATCCCGGGTTACTATGTCATCTTTCTAACCCTAGTTGTCATGGTTATAAATACACCTTCCTCCAGCTAATCGTATTTTCGATTTTTCGAAGGCTTCTAGCGAATGTTTTCCAGAAATTGAACAAATATATCTTTTTTAAAAAGAAAACCCACTCTAAAAAAATTGAGTATTTTTGATGAATTATTAGTGGTAAATCCGTTTTCTGTGTTGGTTCTTGGAAAATTTTAAAATGAAAAGAGACTAGCGTTTCGTTTTATGAAATCGAGCTTTAAAGCGGCGAAGAAAACAAGTGGGAAAATTTTTTATATAAAAAAAAGGAATCGAATTGGTGGGAAAAGATCAGAAATGGCGGGAGAGAAGAGGAGATTCGAGATTGGTTACGCGCTATTGCCGAAGAAGGAGAACAGTTTCATCCGTGAATCTCTGGTGAATCTAGCGAAATCGCGAGGCGTGGATCTGGTTAAGATCGATAGGGAGCGTCCTTTGGTCGATCAAGGGCCGTTCGATTGCGTCCTTCACAAGTTGTACGGCGAGGATTGGAAGAGCCAGCTCAAAGATTTCTGTTCTCAAAACCCTAATGCGGTAATCGTCGATTCTCCCGACGCGATTGAAAGGCTACACAACAGGATTTCGATGCTGCAGGTGGTGTCGGAACTGAATATCGAGAATCAGAGCGAAACATTTGGGATCCCTAAACAGATTGTGATTTACGATCAAGAAACCCTATTCGATAATCAAGCTTGGGAGTTGCTTAAGTTCCCGGTGATTGCGAAACCATTAGTGGCTGATGGGAGCGCCAAATCGCACAAAATGACTCTGGTTTTTAACCGCGATGGGTTGAACAAGCTCAAGCCCCCAATTGTATTGCAGGAGTTTGTTAACCATGGAGGGGTTATTTTCAAGGTTTACGTTGTTGGGGACTATGTGCAATGTGTTAAAAGGCAGTCATTACCCGATGTTTCAGAAGAAAAATTGAAGACTTTAGAAGGGTCTCTACGGTTTTCTCAAGTTTCCAATTTGCCTACACACGAGAAAAAAGATGATCAGTATTATAAGATGATGCATTTGGAGGATACTGAATTGCCGCCGCAGAGTTTCATGGCAGATATTGCTAAGGGTTTGAGAAAGGCTATGAAATTGAATTTGTTTAATTTCGATGTGATAAGGGATACCCGGTTCGGGAATCGTTATCTTATCATTGACATTAACTATTTTCCGGGTTATGCGAAAATGCCCGGTTATGAAATGGTTTTGAATGATTTCTTTCGCGATATTTTGAATATGAAAGAAATGGAGAAGGGTTTGGTTGAGGAGTGTAGCCAGAAGAAAATGGCAGGGAATGATGGAAGGCTGTTGCTTAATAATTGTGAGGAAGAAGTAAGGAAAACTGTGACCAATTCTTGCTGTAGCGATGGGGAAGAGATGGAGAACTCTATTCAAGTTTGACCTTAAAATTGTAGAGAGTTTGATGAAAAAAAGGAGTAGCTTGATTTGTTTACAAAGTTGGTTGTTTTGGAGGGTTGTTGTAATTGTACAAGGATTGGGACCCTGATGCTGGCTCCTGTAGGCAAAGCAAGTTGCACATTTTCGATTCTTGGACATCGGTTCATACATGGTTCAAATAAGTAGGTTGGGTACTTTGAGATTAGTTTTAACCTCCTGACAACAATTACATGGTGTTCGATGTTAATCATGTATTGGAGATAGGTACTTCTCAAAATACTTTGACGTTTTAGGGAACTTTTAAGTTGTACTCTAAGGCTTTTAAGTGTTTATTTTGGTTAGTAATTGTTATAGTTTTCACGTTGACAAGTTCAATCAGTGAATTTTTCCATATTTTCAATGATAATTTCATTTTTAATTTCCTTTTGCTAATGATAGCCTCATTTCATTTCCTCTTGCTTTTTATATGCATTGATTAAATTGATGTGCTTCTTTAAGAGTTTTGTTCTTTGAAGTAATGGAATTGGTAGTTCCTCATCTAATCCAGCCAAAAATGTTTATACGAATTGGTAGCTCCTCTTTTGAGTTTATTACATGTTGCTAATTCGATGTATAAGATGGGTAAATATTGGAGAGAACAAATACATTTTGGTGAACTCTGAAATTTAGCTTCTGGAAATGGTTCATTTTCTCCTCTAGAATTTGCATGTAATTGGTAGTTCATATTCTCTTCTAGGTTTTGTAAGTAATCGATGTATTAATGTTGCTGTTGAATATCACGTACGGTTAGCCTGTTTTAAACAGTTTCTCACTCTTTTTTCCCCTTAAAGATTAACTTTGGAATGTACTTCCAGTTTGCATGATAAGTTGCAAAAGAAAGCTATGGGTGCTTTAAATGGAGGGAAAATGTCGGTTTCTTTTCTTTTTAATTTTCCTGTTATGGAAAACTTTTTGAAATTGAATGCCAAGTTATGTGTTGATATCCACATGTTGTATCAACTGTAGATTACTGGTGATGATTGATTGAGAATTAGTTGGAACGTTTAGTGGTACACTTACAATCTTTTCAGCTACTGGTATTGAATACGGGTTCATGATATCTTGTACAACTCCATGCCGGTTTTACATAACCGTTTTTCATTTACCCTGTTCTTGAATCCTGCTTTTATGGCGTTTACCATGTTTGATAATTATTTCCAATTACTGCAACTATATCCGAAAAATTTGGATGCTATTAGACTCCTAACCTTTTGCACTTGCTATATCCGATGCCTTTTTCAATACTTTATGCTTTCACCATTACCTCTCATGGTCAAGCAGCAAATGTTGGCTAGGAATATACAAACATTTTTGTCGTGTGTCCTGACATGGTTTGTAAACAAGTATCCTGGAAGCTTGACCTTATAGACCTTATAGAACTGTTCTGTTTTTTTTTTTTTGCATATCTACATTTCCTCGTCTCTCCTAATCCTATTTCGTGCACTATGTGGGTGTTGAATGAGACAGATTCAGCCCGTTCTGGTGGTTGTTTGCATATTTGTTAAGTATTTTACAGCTTCATGCGTGTTCATGCAGATCAATATAATAGCGTCTGTTGTGTGCGCTACTACTTGACCGTGTGTTTGTTTTGAGCTATCAGTCAGTGTCACGTAGATGCGAGAAAACTTTGATCCGTTATCAATGTAGTTATACCTTTCATAGACGAGGTATTGAATCTACAATATTGCTTGTTGTTGTTGTTGTTGTTGTCATGATTGTACGACCTTACCTCCTCATACCTGGGGCGTGTTTTGGCAGGTTTTTATGACATTCAAACGGTTGGTTCTACTGCTTACTTCTTTACACACTCAATGACCCAACTGTGACCATTTCACCTTCTTATTAGTATCTATAGACTATACACGTTTTTATATATGTTTTTTTCCTATTAAAATGATGGGATGTTTCGTTATATTACCTTTAAAATTCACTTAGTTTGATCATTAGATTCCCTTATTATGAGAAGTTTGTTTCGCGTAGTTTGGTGTTTATTTAAGGTAGATAATATGTATTATGCAAGTGATTAATCAAAGTGGATCCGTGGCGCAATGGTAGCGCGTCTGACTCCAGATCAGAAGGTTGCGTGTTCGATTCACGTCGGGTTCAATTCCCTTGAACTGATTCACTCTTTTTTTTCTTTTAAATTATGATTCATATCGGTACGGTATTGTATTCCGAAAGGAGGTATTTCGCCTATGATTCTATCTGTGTACGCATAGAAAACTTTTCCAATAGAATCGGGGATACTGCCTTTGAGCATGTTTTCATAAAATCCAAGGAACTCCAAGCCTCCCATCTCTTCCGGTATGGTATCGGATATGAATCGGGGATACTGCCTTTGAGCATGTTTTCATAGAATCGGGGATACTGCCTTTGAGCATCTTTTCCAATAGAAGTTTAAGCCTAGCCAAAGAACCGAGCTCAGCATACATTTCCCCTCCGACCACATTTCGTCTAAGTTGACGACCTCTAAGTTCAAAAACGTGGAAGGTTTGTTGGAAGTTCACTTTGGAAGGAGTTGTTGGTGAGAACCAATTCCTCTAGACGATGCAGTCGAGTAACTTCTTGAGGGATCGGACCATCAAAGCTGTTGCTCCCGAGATCGATCACCATGAGGTTGGCTATGCGAGGATAAAGGTCACCTGCCAATTAGAGTGATGATAGATGCACAGGGCGGTCACTCTTCAATGCCAGCGATTACATGTTACTCCTTGCCAGTTGCAGAAATGTTGTGACCCATTCCAAGAGCTGAACACCCTGTAAGGATCAACTGGTATTCAAGCCTTGATGACAAGCAATGCTTGTATTTCAGTCTCATTTCTTGTTGTCCTGGATTCAACATGATCCAGCTTACAAAGAATGCACAGGAGGAAAAGCGAGCAACGTAGTAGCTTTGATATCATGGTATTAATAGGCAAATTAAAATACCAGTTCCCATCCATCAGTATATTACTGAAGTCATTATAATGGTTCTACTTTAACATAAACATACAATAGAAAATACTAAACCCAACTAACAGAGATGGTTCCACTCAGCGCCATTAGCAATAGACATCATCAAACATGTATTTCTAGTCTTACGTTATACGATACAATTTCTACATCTGTATGTTTTATATCATTTATATCCAACACTTGAGATGTTCAAATAATCAAAAGCAAAAATTTCCTCTTCCCATAAATAAAGATGACACAACAGTATGTATATCTCCTTCATAGATACATACGCATAATGCTCATGGCTACTGCTCCAAAAGAGGGCTTCCCTGTCTAGCAAGCACGAAAAGAGCACCATCTCCTCTTGATATCCAAATATCTTCATCGAGGTACGTAGTCAGAAGCCAGGAACTTGATCGGTTGCCAGGAATGGGAATCTTAAGAGGTGGCTGACCAGAAATTGTTCTTGAAATGTTTGCGGCCAATTCCTGCAGTGGGTTAAGAGATTGCTGCACAGGCAACAAACTAATTCTCTGACCAAAAATTTCTACATCGGCAGGAAGATCAACGGCTGGTTTTACTTCTGGAGGTTGCAGTATGCCTTCCTTGAATTCAACCTGGACGTTTCATGGAAAAAAACTATAAGTATCTTAGGAGCAAATGTTTCATACATTAAGATTTCCAAAGGGTTTCAAGTGTAATAAACAGCACGCTAACCATACTCCAAATTCAATAATAAGAAAGCAATCATTTCCTTTCAATTAACATTTTGCTTGCTCATAGATGTATCCCGCCAGCTGAAAATTCAATGTGTCATACGAGTCCATGTCCTATAGCATAAGGTGTATTTTGGCCCCTATACTTCTAAAATGAGCAAAAAAGCCCATATACATTATATAAAACAAAAATGACATCTCTATAATGGTTTAAAAAAATTGTTATTTTATGAGGCGAACTTAATTAAATGATGTGACCCTAATTTAATATATGACTTAACATTTTTAAATGACGAGGTATGTCCACTTGACCCATTGTTGCTTAACCTGAATCATTGCATTTAAGAGGTTAACAAAGTATGAAATCAAGTGGGGTTAAGTACAATGGTTCAGGTTAATCTACAATAGGTTGGTGAACATGCTACATCACTTAAAAATGCCCACATCATTTAGTTAAGTCCAACTCATACAACTAAGATTTTTTTTAACTATTAAAATACTATTTTCTAACATACAGGACCTTAGCTCATTTTGTATTACAGGGGCCAAAATACACTTCACTTTATAATACAGGGAACTATACAATACTTTTACCCTGAAAATTAATAGGAAAACTTTGATCTAATCATCATAAATTTTGTTTGTAACCCACTTCCCTGACTTCACACACACACACACACACACACACACACATATATAACAACAGGGTTTAATTTAGGAATTACCTGTATTCTTGAAGGAGATCTAACTTCAAAGGTAGCAGATGCACTAAAGGAGAAATCAGCAAAAGGGCCAGACAATGTGGTGGAGTTGACAATAGATTGACTAGCCGTATCAATTGTTTGGCTTATGCTTTTCACTTTTAATAGTGGGGTTGCACCGGCTGCCAGAAGTGGCAACAGCTCGGAAAATGCAGTATACCTGATCGATTAGAGATACAAATTATACAAAACCATCACTGGGGAAAACAAATAAACAAGAGATGAGAACATGTGTTATTCATGTAGTAGCATTATTTACAATCATGAACTTATCAACAAGGTTCCCTTCAATGATGAGACTCAAAACATGTAATGAAGCTAATGTCTATGTCGATTAGGGTCGTCCCAGAGACAGTCGATCGACCAAATACTCAATCTTCTATTTTCTCTCATTCTACGATCCTTAAAAGGTGTAAAACTAAAAAGTTTTACACTGTGTGAAGGGAACTGCCTCGTGTGTGTGTGTGTATAAAGATTGTGTTAAATAAAGAAGACACTCACAGCAAAATCCAGTTGCCATCAAGAAGTTGAGTAGCCTCAACGGGAGCCGGGGTCGGGTTAACCGCTTCCAGCTGACTGACTAACTCCAAAACCTCGGCCCTTAGCTCCTTACTCGCCCGAAATCCCAACTCGGTCCCATAAACTGAATCCACCAAACACCTCTTCAAATCCGCAACCCTATCATCAAAGCCCTCCCTCGCCTCTTTCTCCGCTGCATCGGAAGCTCCTCCTTGGGCAGCGGCGGTTGTACCATTACCCGTCTCAATACACTCTTCCTCCCACTCGTCCTCGTTCCTCGGAGGATCATAATCCGGGAGCTTGGTGGGCTCGGGTTCCGATCCGAGCTCCGATTTTTCACCCCATTCATCGGTTATGTTAATCGGTCTGGGGGTTTCTCGGTAGGAATCGGATTCGGGAGTAGGGTTGGACCGGGAGCTGGAAAGGGAAACGAAAGGAGAGGAATTGAGGTGGGTTCGGGGTTTAAGTGGAAGGGTAAATGAGGGTTTAGAGGTTTGAGAGAGGAAAGTCTTGAGTTTAAGGGATTGGGAAAGGAAGAGAGAAGAAGATTGTGCGGTGAAGAAAAGCGCCATTTTTGTTTTGGTTTTCAGTCTTCTACTCTCATATACTCAAATAGTTTTCTCGTGGTTTCCGAACACAAATAACCATATTTTCTAATTTAGAAAAGAGGAAATAAATTCACTGATCAAAAATGCCTTATAATATATAATTTTAATTAATTTTTTTTTTAATTTACCAAAATGACCAACTAAATCGTAATGCGATCGATAATTCGCAACGCGATCTCCGGTATCGTAAATCAGTTTCCAGATTCGCAACGCGATTCTGACTATCGCATTGCGATTTCCTAAATTCGCGTTGCGATTTTCCTAATTCGCAATGCGAATACGTAAATTGCAACGCGAATTTGGAAAATCGCAATGCGAATACGCAAATCGCAATGCGAATCTGACTATCACAATGCGATTTACATAGCGCCATTCGTATTAACGCGTATTTTTTTTTCAAATTCCAAACACGAATATATTAATATATCGAAACACTGAACCGTCCACAGTATATCCCGTAATCGCAACTCATAACCTAAAACTCTAAATCACAACTCAGTCTCATCTCCATCTATCACTCTCTAAGGCGACATCCGTCCCCATCTCCGACGAAATCAGTCCCCATGACGATAACAGTCTCCATCTCCGGCGAAATCATTCACGGTCAGAAATGGAAAATCAACAAAATCAACCACCGAGGGTTAGTTTTTTTAATTATTTTTATTTTGAAATTTTTGCATTATTATTAGGTTTTTCATATTGAAATTGATGATAAGTTTACTGGTGTTTTCAATAATAGATTAACCGTTTCACTTAGATTGCTTATTATATTCATTCGATTGCTGTCAATACTGCTAAACTGTTTAGTCTTTAACCCTGTGAAGTTAGTATTTGTCTTTGTTTTGTCTTTTGGTTGAAGTAATGCAATCCATTCAAGTTTCTTTCAATTTTAGTATTTGAAACCGAGAATGACTATTGCAACGAGTGAATCGCAACGCGAAAATGACTATCGCAATGCGAATTTGACTATCGCAACGAGAGAATCGTAATGCGATTTTCATTTTGCGTTGCGATAGTCAAATTCGCGTTGCGGTGGTCATTTTCGTGTTGCGATTTAAAGTTTCATAAACTATTCTTCTTCTGCAAATTGAAACTTGAATGAATTGCATTACTTCAACCAAAAAACAAATACTAAATTCACAGTGTTGCAAATTTAAGTTTGAAGAATAAACTACTACTCTTTATTGTTCATATCTTCACAGTGTAGTTTTTGGTATATCTAAATTGGTATGTTTATTGTTTTTGCAGAACTTTTATTCGGCTCAATTGACCTTAAGAAATAAAGTAAGCCTGGCCAAAACAATTGCGTCGAAGCTTTCACCTGCACAAAGAAAAATATTTGAGGATACTTGCTTCGGGCCATGGCTGAAAGTACAACATCCGGGTGGAGATGCTATGTTGACCCATCTGTTTCTTCAAACCATGACTAGCGATCTACCAGAGACTATACAACGTCGTGATGAAGAGATATGGTTTGATTTCCACCGGCGTATACGTGTTTTGGGCGGGAGGAGTTTTGCTTAATCACCGGTCTACGCTTCGGACACGATGATGTAGATCGGTACACTAGACATATTACCCGCCTATCATGGTTTTCCCGGGTTTTTCCTGAGCAGTCAACGGAGAAGTCGAATTTACACGTGGAAGACTTGACAAGATTATTGAATAAGAAATATGGTTTTACTCGGATGGATGAGGTCGATGTTGTCCGAGTATGCCTTCTAATACTTTTGCAAGTCGGCTTTTTAGGCAGAGAGGCCCGACAACCTATTCCTAATGATCTAATTAAATTAGTAGAGGACCTAAATGCATGGAACATGTTTCCGTGGGGTTCGTATCTATGAAGAGCTATATGGAATAAGTTGTCGTCTGCCTTTAATGATCGGAAAAGTTTGCGTGGCGATGGTTCCAAATACACTTTGTCAGGCTTTATTTGGGCCTTTAAGGTAATAATTTTTATATAATGTTTCCAAAATTATAATTAATTCTTTAACAATTACTAATGTTTGTTATTATATTGTTTGTAGATTTGGATATTTGAGGCCTTTCCCGCCATGTAGACATATGCATTAAAAACTTCTAATGATATTCCTAGGGCTATTTCCTGGAAGAGGAAACAGTCCTTGCAGCAATGGGAAGATTTACTACCGTATACTACAATAAATAATATAAGTTAACACAAATACTACCATATGTTTATAAACAAGTTATTACTAGTACACGTTTAACTTTGTTTGAGCTTTTATATTGTTAGGAGGCCAACACTCCATTACAGAGGCTGACACCCACGGAAGCTGAGCTTGCCACTGATTGGTGGCAAGCTAGTAAGCTTTTTTTTATGGCACGGATGATAAGCAACCACCACTTTGAGAGCCATCACCTCACCCAGAGCTATCACTTGATCGACCCGAATATACACCTCCACAACAAGAGTCATCACCTATTCTGTCACATCATCGAGCCTCTTCTCCACCATCACCTCATGATAGGTGACTGGCAAAGATGTCACGACGTTTATCTCCCTATTCTCCACCTCCACCTCCACGAGATGAGTTAGGGGAGTTACGTAATGAGGTCAATGCCTTGCGTGAGGAGGTTGGTACTTTACGCGATGACAATTGTGCATGGTGTGTTGAGGTGTCTACTTTACGTGGTGAGGTAGCAGCTCTACGTGAGATTGTAGTATCGTTGCATAACGAGGTTCATACTCTACGCAACGAGGTAAGTTTAATATTTTTCATATTTAACTTGATGATAAATTTACTCGTAATTTCACTTAGATTGCTTAGTAAATTCATTCGGTTGCTGCCAATACTGTTTAACTGTTTATTCTTTAACCCTGTGAAGTTAGTATTTTGTTTTTGGTTGTCTTTTGGTTGAAGTAATGCAATCCATTCAAGTTTCAATTTGCAGAAGAAGAATAGTTTACTATCGTAACGCGAAAATGACTATCGCAATGCGAAAATGACTATCGCAATGTGAAAATGACTATCGCAATGCGAAAATGACTATCGCAATGCGAAAATGACTATCGCAATACGAAAATAACTATCGCAATGCGAATTTGACTATCGCAACGAAAGAATCGCAATGCGAAATGAAAATCGCATTGCGATTCTCTCGTTGCGATAGTCAAATTCGCATTGCGATAGTCATTTTCGCGTTGCGATTTTCATTTCGCATTGCGATTCTCTCGTTGCGATAGCCAAATTCGCATTGCGATAGTCATTTTCGCATTGCAATAGTCATTTTCGCATTGCGATAGTCATTTTCGAATTGCAATAGTTATTTTCGCGTTGCGATTTTAAGTTTCAGATTCTATTATTCTTCTGCAAATTGAAACTTGAATGAATTGCATTACTTCAACCAAAAGATAAATACTAACTTCACAGTGTTGAAAATTTAAGTTTCAAGAATAAACTACTACTCTTTATGTTATCATTGAACCTAAACTAAACCTATATGTTGTCCTTTTAAATGTTTATATAAGTGCTTAACCTGCACTAAACCTATATGTTGTCCTTTTAAATGTTTATATAAGTGCTTACTTCTGGAATGTTATCTGATGCATTTTGTGAACAATGATATAATAATAACTTGGGTGAATACCGTGCAAGTTTGAAATATATTTGTCTTTGTTCTCACTGTTTAATATCATGTCTGTTTATTTACTGATTTATGTATTAATTTATTTTTAGCGGCCCGCTAAGGTGGATGCTCTACGTCGGGTTTTTCTTGCAAGACGGAGTTCACGCATCAGACGACGTGCACGTGCCATTACGTCTCCGTTCACCCCAATAGTGCGAAGAATCCGTAAGAAAAAACCTGACTCACCTGTCATCGTTCAAGAGGCCTCCCCTATCGTTCAAGAGACCCCTATCATCCCTCAAGAGTCCCCTCCCACCGTTCAAGAGGCCACTGTTATCGTTGAAGAGGTCCCTCCCAACATTCTAGAGCCCGATTCACACGGCGTAATATATCGAATTATTGAGAAGCCCCCTCACGTGCCGGACATGATGGATGACTGTTGGCTTTCGTATAAGTTACCAGCCAGTACCATTCCGGCAGATGAAGTGGAGAGGAAACAACTACGGGAAACAATTCTGGATAATACCCTTTGGGCTAAGACCGCAGTTGATTTTTATCTACATGAGCGGAGCCAAGGGTGTTACGCTGACATATACAAACTCAACGATGATATACATTTTTTGATTGAACGGTCTTGGTGGGGTGTATTATTAGGGGTTGAAGATAACGGCTATTTCGATGGGGGTAAGTCTTATATTTCTTATATTTCAGTTTGATTAATTTTTTTTTAAAATTTATGTAATTCACTAATATATGTCTTTTTTTGTAAAACAACATATTGATGCATGGGTGACACGTCTTCTAATTGTAAGGAAATTAAAGAAAAATATTAAAAAATGCGATATACAATTATGCCGACGTCTTTTCATGTAGTTCACTTGAAGAATCAACGACAGGAATCATATGTGTAGGCTAATGGACAAGCTAAACTTTATCCTACATGGTGGGAGGTCGATAAGGTTAGTATATTTGTTTAAATATTTTAAAGGTGTTCATAAATAAGTGCGTAATTTGAATTATTACATTTCGATGTAGGTGTTTATCCCTGTTTTGGACCGTACTCATTGGCTTCTCATCGAGCTTCAGCTCCCATCCCTAAAGACAATAGTATATGACAGCATGATAAATTACATATCATTGTCTGATTTGAGAGATATGATTAAGGGATGGAGCTATCATTTGGCTAAATTCTTGGATGCAATTGATTATTGGACTAAGTCTGGAAACAGGAAGCCAAAGAAGTTCAATGTTACAGTTATCAGAGACGAGACCGCGCCACAACAAACGAAGGAAGCCAGAGGGGATTGTGGTCCTCTCGTATGCATGTGCTTGGAGCGTTTGACGACAGGAAGTACACATTTTCTACCTCCCACCGATAGAGATAGAGGTGCAGTAGGCTTGTGGTTTCGGTATTTTAT